GACGGGACGGGACGGGACGGGACGGGACGGGACGGGACGGGACGGGACGAGCCAAGCCGAGCCGGGACGAGCCGAGCTGTGCCGGGAGGAGCCGCTGAGGCGAGAGGAGCCGGGAGGATGCGCGCGGCGCCGGCGGAGGAGTCGCCGATCCCGGTGTGCTGAGCCCGCAACAAGAGCCGCGACTCTCCCCAGCGAGGAGAAGGGAGGCGGAGGCGGCCCCTCAGCCTGCGGGAAGCGGCCACAGAGCCCGGCCGGCGGGGCCAAGAGAGGCTCGGAGCAGCGATGGCGTCGTGGCTGGGCGGGCTGGGCTCGGGGCTGGGCCAGTCCCTGGGGCAGGTGGGCGACAGCCTGTCCTCGCTCACCGGGCAGATCTCCAGCTTCACCAAGGACATCCTGCTGGAGGGCGCCGAGGAAGTGGGCGGTAAGGGGGGCTCGGAGCTGCGGGGCGGGCCTGGTTCCACCAGGGAGCCTTTCGGGCTCCTCTGGGACCCGCCGGCCGGGAGAAGCTGGTCCCGGCTTGATGCCTTTCAGGAGGGCTGCCGGCTTTACTGCTTTTGTTTCCGTTTTTATTCTGCCCCTGTGACCTCAGGATATGGAGAATAAACAAACATATTCCCTGGCTGTAATAGCATAAGTAAACCTGTTTTAGGCTTATTATTCGGAAGTTTCTAATTGCGTGATGTGTTGTGTTAATCCGTATTGAAAGCACACAAACACTCTTCTTCCATTCTGCTTGCTTAGTTTATCTAACCCCCCCCCCCCCCCCCCCAGCTGATTAGCTGCTTTTTGACTGGTTTCATGAAACTGCCGAGTTGTAGCAGTACAGAGGTTGTTTTGCCACTGGTGTGATCTAAGTCTGACGTGTCACTCAGGCAAAGGTCCAGTGTTTCTGGTGGTTTTGTTTGTATTTCAGTTGGGCCCAGACAAACCTGTCAGGTTCTACAACTCTCCTACAGCCAAGTAGGAGAATATGGCCCTTGTTTTATAGGGATTAGAGACTGGAACGATTTATGTTTAAAACAGAAAGAACAAAAAAGCCGAGACATCAACGTAAGGTATTCAGTAAAGCAATAGTAAATCTAGCTTAGAATATAGTATTTTCTTTAAATTTTTAATAATGAGTTTTGTTACAAATTTTTAATACTTTTTTTCTCTTAAGCAGTTCTGTAATGTAATAAATATCAGTAGGTTAATACCCCTACTATTGTTTACCTTCTTGTAACTATAAATTATTTTTAAAACTAGCTTTCTCAAATTGATGGTAAGAATAGCAACCACAAAGAACAGCTAAGACTTCTGAATAGTCCTCTTAAATATGTGATTAAGCAATTCTACTTCGTTTGCAACCTCTCATCTATGAAGCATTATGAAAGTATACTGTGAAAGTGTGTATTGTATAAATCTTGTTGGCAAGCTGATACTACATGTCTCATAGGGATGGATTTTTTTGTAATACAGGTAAAAAGCTCAGAAGAGAGAAATTTATTCTTATAAGTGTGAAATTATCTTTTTTTTTTTCTCTTTTCTGAAAGACTTGCTTAGGATTGTTTTAAATTTCAAAATCCATATTAGTTTAGTTTGGAAACTTAGAGTCCTGAACTATGCAGCCAACTGGTGTGTTTGTTTTGCTTTCATAAAAAATAAATTGTGATTTCAGTTCACATATTCGTGCATGAGTTTGTGCAAAGAGATGTACTGATGCTCAGTAGTTACTTCCAGGTGTACTTCACTGCTAAATACTGCTGAGAACAACTTTGGTGTCCTAAAAATTTCGGAGTAATAGATTGATTGCTAGACTTGAGGGTGTAAAAAATCTGGTGGCATCCAAGTACTCATCTGTAGAGACTTTGAAGTACTTTGTGACCTAAAGAACACTTTAAATAGTTCCTTTCTTTCCTTTTTTTAATTTCCTAATTTCTAAAATTCCCTAATTTTTAGTATTATCCCTTACATTCAGTGCTTTGACTGCCATGAGAACTGAGAACGTTGTTTGTGCATTATAGACTTTAACATCTTTGTTTCATAGTTTTTATGGGTAGATTGTTGCCTCTGCAGTGCTTGAGCTGCATCAGTTTTAAATAGCACATAGGAAATGATGAAATACAGTATTTACCTGGAAATTATGTTTATTTCAAAATCTGAAAAATTGTCAGGATTGCTTTATAGTCAATTCAGGATGATTTCTCATTGATAAAACGAAATGTGGTATTTCTGCCCATTAAAAGTGGGACATGGGATGAGTTAACATAGTTTGAGGAAGGTTGATCATTAAAGGAAGTGTATCCAGGGATGTGCTTTTGGTACAGGATAAACTGGGATGGTAGATGTGTTACCTTTGTAAATGAAAATGAGTTTTATGGGGTTGGTGTTTCGTTGCATGGGTTTTAATGGGTCTGGGTGATTTGTTTGGGTTTTTTCCTGAACATTTAGTCACTGCTGTGTGCATTTAATGGAACTAATTCTTGTTTCGAAACTTCACATGAGATTACAAAGGAACACACAACTGTCATGTCAGGGGCAAAGTTGTAAATGAGAAACAGATTCAGGAACACAAAATAGTCAAGTAAAACATTTTCATTTCCCTTATTTTAAAGCTGAAATCTATACTAATGTATTAGGTTTTTGATTTGATTTAAAGCCTAGATACAAGTAAACTAAACTTGGTTCCGAAAGACTGTCTGACAAATAATTCTGTCAGTGTTCTTATAAAAACAACTTCTGATATTTACCTAGGAATGAACATTAAAGCAGTGTAAAGTAAGATATATATTAATAACTGTTCTTAACTGCTGTCTACTTAACAGATTAAAAGGATTTTAATAAAAATGAAAATTTTCACTTTCTTTCAGATGCAGCAACGGAACTCCACGTGTCCAATTCTAGACTCAGAGAAATAGAAAGTATTAATGCAGCACAAAAGTTTGAAGTAAGAAGCTTTGGAACACTGTTGTAATTAAAAGCAGTACATAACATTTATTTTGTATAAAGGTGAAATATTGCACTGAAATTACTTGTCCCTGGGTAAATCTATAAACAAGGGTGATTGTGATATTAGAATGTGACTTTTTGTGACAAACTGCCATCACAGTCAGGGAGATAAATTGTTTTATTGGAGTATGCATGTGGTGCAAGTTTTCACCTTTTACTGCATCCCTGACTGTACCTGCCTATCATGTGGACTTGGACTGCAACAATAGACTTGGCCCTGAAAATCTTGAAAATGCAAAAATTCTTTAAGTTTTCGTACATTTTAGCTCTAGGTCAAGTTTCATATATGACCACAAGAACAAGCAGATGTAGAATGTCTGCTGATGCAGGGCAGAGTGTCTTTTGCAGCAGCTTCAGGCACAGGGTGGGTGTGTTCCCTGGTGATGTTCTCTCTCTGTGTTACCCTACCCTGTGGTCATTCTGACATAACTATGGCTGCTCCTGGTCTTCCAAAACTGTTTGCAAATCCCATGTGCCCTTGTGGAAAGTGGCTTTCTGCACTCTTACAGGACTTGGCCTTGTGGCTTTATTTATGACTCTAAACCAACAACTTTCTTTTATGTTTTCAGTCCTCAGGAGCACTGTGAAGTTAATGTAGTATTTTGGGGACATAACTGTTCCTGCTTTTCCTTTTTCTAGTTTCTTGCCAGCTGCTGTTGGAGAGAGAACACTGGATATTAACTCCAATTTGTGCTTTATGGCCGTTCTTAAATTCCACCTGCGAATCTTCCTAAGATGTAATTTCAGTCCTGATTTTCTTTTATTTTTTTTTTATTCTTGGCATTTACCTCTGGTCATCACAAAACTTTTATCTGAAAGTGAGCCAGAGTCCATGCCGTATAAAAACAGAAAGCTTGGACGTGAACCTGATTTTTTTGGGCCCACACTTGGACATTGCTGTTACTTTGTTTTTTGAATGAAATAACATGAGAAATCTGTACAATTTTATTTATTTATTTACTGTTCATTACCTTTGTGCTTTTCTGATTCTTTAAGAACTGTGCCAAGTTTACCAATGTTAATTTCTTATTTTTGCTAGAATGATAGGCTGAAAAAAGTCTGTAGTGACTTAGAAGAAAAGCACGAAGCAGCAGAGTTGCAAATAAAGCAGTTATCTATAGAGTACCGCAATCAGCTTCAACAGAAAGAGGTAGGATACAGAGTAAAATATCTCAGTAAGTATGTCCAATATTTATCTGTTGTGGTGTTTAAGTTTTTTGTTATATTATCTGTTCTCTTCCAGTAGAAATACTGGTCACACCTGTAGTTTCTTGTTTTGTTAATGTCAGCTAAGACATATATTTCATTGTGTCATGTAATGTAAGCAGAGCTGTCGGGAGATAGCTGAGATGAGAAAACTCTCTGGGGATGTCGTACAGCTGTCAGAATTTCTGTTGTTTCTGGGATCGCTGTGAGAAGTGACACTCAACTGCTTTGTATTTCTGATTCTGTTACCTTTAAGGAAGACAACAGGAACAAATTCTTATTTGAAGCAGTTATTTTGTCTGTAGATATCATTATTTATCTTAACGTACACAATTAAAGGGAACAGAGCTAGCTTTCCAAATTTGTAAAATGTCCCTCTGATGGAAACACCAGCTTTATAACCTACTGTGTAACATGAGATTTCATAGCCTTTTAAATGAAGAAAGTTGTCAGTATGCCTAGAGTTACACAAATGTAGTTTTATTTCTGCTTTATTCATAAATGCATGTGGGAGCTCGAGGAAGCAGAATGAGATGTATAAAATTCTGCTTCTTAAATACAATAATAGAGTTTTTATGAGAAAATTGTGTGCAGCTAATTTCACTCTCTTGCAAATATGTAGATTTTCAATAATGAGTTGTTAAAAGAAGTAAAATGTAATAAAAATAACTGGGGAGGCATCATGTATTGCCTGACTTTCATGTCTGAATACCCTCTTTATATATTTAAATTTTTTTATAACCTGTTAGCCTGAATC